GTAGGTCAGATAACATATAATGGATTCATGAAAATCCTGTACATAAAAATAAACGGGTCTAAAGATATTCCAGTATTGAAAGCAAGGTTAGTATAACAAGAAAATGAATAAAATACGGAACGGTCAATTCCTGCGAACTGCTTTCATATCGAGCACCGACGTTTTCACCGTAATCGCACATTTTAGGAAAAATTAATTATTCATTTTTCGATTCTAAAAAATTCGCATTTTGTTCTAAAAATGGTTTCGAAGCGTGGAAAGACATGGATAAGACGTGATTTTTCCGAGCGACACCTCGGCAACAGGACCACGGAAGACCTTGAGCCTTCGGCAACAGGGCCCTGGATGCTCCCAGCGGGGCCTCCGGGATCCCGATCGGGGAACGGACGGGTCTCGACCGAGACGATCCCCGAATCCGGCTCGAATCTTCGCTGACCTGCCCGAGATTTTCACTAGAGAAGAATAAGTGTGTTAAAGGGGGGGGGAAATCTTTTACATGGGATGACGTCAGCGAGCCGTTCCACTTTAAAAACGGGCGCTTTGGACTTGACGATCTCAATTCCTCTCTGGTTGAGGCTGAGACAGGTCGCAGAAATTCTTTCGATTGTCTCTTGCTGTCGTGATGCGATCTGCTCGCGTTGGTCGGAGCCATCTGGAAGGCGTCGTAAGTGCATTGCTGACCTGGTTCTTCATTTCGATCCTGTTCTTAGGTTTCAGCATTTTATTCGCTTTTTATTCGCTGAAGACCAGGCCTACCTGGTCTTCAGAGACGATGTATGGTATTTTGAAAATTGATTAATGCCACCCATTCCGTCTTTATTTTCATTGCACACAATAATAATCGTATCGTAATAAGCGTATTATCAGTTCCCCATGCAGTTAGGCTCAGGGTCTACATGAGGCTGTTCAGCAGGCAATGAAAATTCTGCCACACCTAAGGTTAGATCCCGCAAAAGGGTCAATAGTTATCACGCCAGATTAATCATTGTAAGACCTGATACCCAACCCAGTCAGTGGTCTTTCATAGTATACGACTCCTGAACACATTGACCATGTGCGCCTCAATGAATCCCATGCCTCATCCTCTCCTCAAGGAGAGGATGAGGCCCATCATCATCACCATCGCCATCAGTAATGGCCGCCAGCCCTTCAAATCGGCGTGAAATCTTCGACTGCGATGTCCAGTCTAGGTATATTTACCATGTCTCTGCTCCCGACGAGTCTGGTTTGCCTCAGTGACCCAGTGAAAGAGGCGATTTATTCCGTCTTATCTTATCACGAATCAGCGATGGAATCGCAGGACCCCCTTCTCGAGCAACTCGACACGCGAATGACGCCTTCTGATACAACTCGAGTTAACCAATCGGAATCCCTGTTACAACCGGAGGCAGAGCCTCAAACCCCGCTTAAATAAACACTCCACGTGTGGATGCAGGAAGCATCGCCAGTCTCCTCGGGAGAGAAGAATGTACAGCGTCACGGGAGTTGATTGGGATGGAGTCCTTTTTTTAACCTCTGGATTGCAGGAGTCTGACTCGAGCTCAGTTCTATCATAGGCCTTTGTCCTTTGTTGGTTTCTCCTGCGTTTCGCGATGCAGTAAGTCCATCTGTCCTATATGTGTATTTTTGGATTTTGTTCTCCAATTCGGCTGGCCTTTCCTCGTCTCCGATGTTCTCGCGTTCGTTTCTAGACGATTTCTGTCCCTCGACCAGTGAGGCCAAACGGGATTATCGCATTGGAACCGTGCATATTCGTTCCTTCGATATTGAAACGCGATGCCTTTTTCTGAGCTCGCCGAGTAGAGCCTAGATCCCAAATCCCGAAGATCCAGGAGCAGGGTCGCTCCGATCCCGATTCTCATCACCGTGCTCATCGTGCTGTTAGGGACAAAATCCTGTCTTCGGACCAAACATTTGGCATGAAGCCGATGCCAATGCCAATGCCAATGCCAATGCCAATGCTTTGGGAGCGGTTCGCAGGAGCGCTCAACCTTGAAATATATATTTGCATGTGTTAACGATTAAATTACACTAATCTAATGTCACGTGTCTGTTCGAGAAATTGGGGTTAGCTTCGTCTTACGTTTGTGGTCCAAATAATTATTTAATTTGTTAATCAAATTATATCATTCAAATTATCCAAATTGCACCAAAAGCATTGTGAAAAGGATTTGTTCTTGCGGAAACGTTTGAATTCACATCGAGAGTCCGTTTGGCGGAGTAGCGATACTTTGCGATGACATTGAGAATTTGCAGTGATGCTAAATCGCGTTTCACAGTGATGCTAAATCGTGTTTTACAGTGATGCTAAATCGTGTATGAAAAATGGAAATGGATTCTCTCCTTAGTTGATTTCCTTCGCCGCTCCCGACATGCGTCCCAGGACTCCGGCTTGGACTCTCGGCGCCTTCGCCTTCGCCGCTGCTCTGGTGAGTCGGGCGATGAAACGGGTCGGAGAGCGGGTCGGCATCGGAGTCGGTTCTGCTGATTTTCGGACATATTTGAGGAGGACTTCGAAGTTTAAAAGCTCATGGAAGTCAAGTTTGTGATGGAAGTTGTGGAGGTTTAAGGCGGCCTTGACCCGTTTCTTGAGCGATAAGATCGGGTGGAATTCCTTCTCATGGGCTGTAAATCCAAATTTTAACTCTGTACATTCCTTGTCATCTGAATTAATCTCACTACAATTAAATCTTGGGCATTTTGATGCGGGTTTTATTAGAGAAAAAATAGACAAAAGAAAAGAGTATTTACAGAAAAACCCTTTTATAACGAAGATGCTGGAGACCGCAAAAACTATAAGGGGAGATGCAACCGATCTGTCCCAGAGATGGACATTTTTTCCTGACTCAAATGATCCGGGTTGTTTCCAGGTGTTGCGAACAACGCTCCCACCCCTTTGTGCTTGCGCATTCTAATTTCCCTCCACTATCTGTGCCAGTCTGGAGCTGACACGTGCTACGTTTCTAAAAAAGGTGGATGAGAATGCAATTGATGTCGACCTTGGTGTTTCCTCTATTCTCCTCCTCCATCCTCCCCTCCTTCTCCATCCTCCCCTTGTCTCCATCCTCCCCTTCTCTCCATCCTCCCCTTCTCTTCATCCTCCCCTTCTCTCCATCCTCCCCTTCTCTCCATCCTCCCCTCGGGCCCTGGGACTGCTGACATTGTCAGACTCCCTTGCACGACGCACCTTTGTCTGATTGATTGCTTCCACTTGCTTTTACTCCTCGGTCAAACGTATTTATTATTGTTCGCGTTGTCACATTGACGATGCTGTTATTGACGTTACGTGGTAAGCTCGAAAAAACTGCAATAAAAGTTAAAATTTCGCCGTAAACGGGGAAACGAGAGAGCGTCGTTCTACCAAATGAGTCATGCCTTTTCCGTCGCAAGCGGGAACTTTTAACGTTGCTTCTATCGGCATTCATCCAAGGTTAAAGAATCGCATTGCAATGAGAAAGTCCTTTTGCATTTCAATTCGTCATGACTCGGGATTTTATTGTATTGTTCTCGATTCGATTTCTTTCAGCGCTCATGCACAAGAGAACGTGTACCCAGGAACAAAGTCTTATTGATGTATCATTGCAACTGTATGGAAGTTTCCAAACCCATCCAGTTGAACCGATATTGAAGGCAGGGTTGAATCACCATTGACTCAAAGTCGAAATGAGACACGCCTCAGTAATGTTGAGGCATGCAATTGAGAATATTAGACACGACGCTCCTTTCTCTTTTTTTTTTCATTGGATCAACTACTATTCGACTATATTTTGTCCATTTTTCCTGAGCTTTAAATATCGTTGTACTTAACAGAATGGTAAGCGGAATAATTGTATCTATTGTTTTACGAACCGAGCCCAAGAGCGAGAAAAAAACTACGTGGCGGAATACCGTCTCACTTCAAATCCGTCTTTAATATCGATGACCTTTTGGAAATTAAAATTTTCATAGAGAATTGACTAACATCCTGTAGGAGTGGAAGAAATCACGGGGTATAATACGAGATAAATATAATTTTTTGTTAATAGGCGTATTCGATGGCCGGATCCGTTGCCGATGTCTATGAAGAGTGCGGGAAGACGATGGGGTGCTTCGGGACCAAGGGTCGGGTGTGCGATACGAAGTGCCTGTCGAGCCGGGACTGCGACGGCCTCGTCGCGTTCCGGGGCGCCGGGGACAGGACGCACGTCAACTTCACTCTCGTGGGCAGGGTCGTCGAGGACATGAGGTACGTGGCGCTCGGGATCTCCACAGACGGCAGAATGGTAAGCTTGAGGGGCTTCAGAGTTTGCTTCGGGTGGAAGTCGAGATGAAGGAATCCTTCGGATTGCCGTCGTCTTTCGCTTCAGGGACACGATGGGGTGGTGGAGTGCGTTCGTGAGGGTCAAACGGTCAGCACATATGGGTCCTTCAACTTCGATAAAAATATGGGTAACCAGAGAATGCACGAGGTGGGTTTTAGGTCAATTTTATCGCGGAGGCAGCGGTGAAGCACGAGTTCGTGTGTTTGAAAATTTTGCATTCCGGACGTCTAGGATAAGCAAAATGTGATCACGAGAGAATACGGCGTCTTCGAAGACGGAGTGATCAAGTGCGCCTTTATGCTTCCTGCTAAGTTTTCCATCGAAGCCATGAATTTCCAGCTTGACAGTCACATCTATCACGTCCTGGTTGCCGTCGGCAAAGCTACAAAAGGTTTTTTTTTTTTCCCCTTCTGTTGTGTCAAAATGCGAATATTCTATAATAGTGAGGACCCATATCCACGTTTTAGTTTGGTCGATGAAGCCATAAAGGACCACGTGGAATATTTAATAGACGAACGCCTTGAATGAATTCTATGCTACGGGACTTATATGTGCTTCCGAAGCGTCAAGAAAGATTGGAAACGGAGAGTGAGAGGCAACAAAAGGATATTCGACAGATCTCAATCTTTTTCTTCATTTGGAGCCACTACGGTGGCTCTCTGGTGCCTTAGGAGAGTTGCCATCTCCAGTGTGGATCAACTATGTCTCTTGAAACTACATCAGAAGTTGTGAATAATTTAATGCAGTGCGAAGATGCTAATTAGTATCAAATTATTCAAAATAATTATGTCGAAATAGCATGCACTTGGTCTTGCCTCATACGACTGGGATGTAGCTACAGAGATATTGGACAATTACATGGTTGACCACTTTGGTTTATGGAAACTTTCCCCGATTTTTTTCGTGAAAAACTGGCGATATTTGAGAGAGATTCTTATTAATAATGAAGAGGACAGCACGAGGTAGAATTGAAGCCAAGTCCCCATTGACATTTAAATTGCACGGTGTAGACATGCCTCGAAGACAAAGCATATTAGGATTCTTTTTCTCGTCTAGACATAGTGCGCTGAAAGGGCGGGCGGTCTCTTCCCTGCTTTCAACATGGGGCGGGAATATCTCTATCTCTGAATGCGTGAAACAAAGTTTATATTAGGAACGAATTTTTTCAAGATTCTTCTTTGAGGGTCCACCAAGTCGTATCGTTGAGTATTGACACTTTGAGCCCTGGCAATTTGAATGTGCAGGGCGTCATATGATGGCTGCAGGGCTCAAAGTGTTAATCGTTTGATACCGCGTTTACCTCGAGAAGTATCAGTTAGTATGCCCAGTTGTTTCAGGGCTCCAGTTCCATCGGGTGATAGCAGAGGGTTTACTTGCTTGTAGAGGACGATGACCTCATTTTTGCTGATGACTTCTTAAATGACGTCATCATTCTTGCAGGGACGTCATCGCATCGATCTACCAATCAGGAACGACTTGGTTGTCACGTGAGCTTCGGTTCGAAGTCGCGTGATTCTTTTGAGTCAGTCTTCAGTAGGATTGCGGATGATTCACATTGTGCTGTACTGAAGCAGGCACCTAATTTAATCCATCTATCTAATCTAAAGTACCTAATCCCATTCTGTATGGACAAAAGTACTACCTCCACAAACGAGATAGTATGAACCTTTTCGTTGTAAACCGGGTATATACGCTTTTTCCGAGATCAAAGGATGAGTTTCACGGGTTTCTAGACAACCCATGCTAGCCTGCGAGGGATAGGGCGTCTTCAGTATCTCTCCATAGATAAGGCGAACAAGGAGAAGTCTCCCTCTCCGTTGCCAGAAAGCCTTCATCTTCCTAATACGAACCGATCTATGATACTTGCAGATGCACGCAGATTGGATGGCGTTCGTACTCCATTTAGGTTGAGATCCCACCTACCTTCTGGTCCTGTATTTAAACGTGCATCCAAAAAACACATCTATAGCCAGAGTGCCTAGTAATACATTCACTTTCCCGCTCTGAAAAACGTGTAAGAAACCTCTCCAGCATTGCAGATATCCGCTCACATGTATGACCCAAGGTGCAGAAAAATGTATGAAAGTTGCAAGGGACAATTTAGGAGAGTTACATGAAGGTGGAAGCGCATTCGCTAAATGTTCAACGCTCCACTCTACCTGCATGCCTGGCTCATGGGGACAATAATTTCTCGTACAATGTAATAGCACAATGTCAGAAATTTATATGAACTAGAATCAAACATGTGATTCATTGTGCGACTTCCGCTTGCAGATAACGTGCAGTTCCACGACACAGCGTTTGCAGGGTCAAGGAGGCTAGCGGATCTGTTTGAAGTCAGCATCCCGAAGTGTCCCAAAAATAAAACTCTGCTGTACGTGCATGGAATTTGTATGGTTTTGGCCTGGATCTTCTTTGCTTCGAGTGGCATCATCACTGCCAGATATTTCAAGAAGACCTGGGTCGGTTACCAGCTCTGCAAGAAAGATATTTGGTTCAGGGTGAGATCATGCACCTTCTCGCGATTTTGACCTCATAGAAGAAGGTACAAGACTGAAAAATTCTTGTGATGCTCGCAGATTCACCAGGGATACATGGCGACGGTATGGGCCTTGACCATCATTGGGGTCCTCTGCATCTTCGCCTATGAGAAGTGGAAATTCGAATATGATCCCCATACTTACATCGGAATCGTGGCGGCGGCGTTGTGTTTCATCCAGCCTTTCATGGCTCTCTTGAGGCCTGGCCCCGGGGCCCCCAAGAGGGCCGTCTTCAACTGGGTCCATCGGGGAGTCGGCGTCTTGGCCCATATCCTCGCAGGTCAGACCCTTCATGCTATGTGTGCCAAGCCCTTTTCTTCCTCAGCGAAATAACTTCTTTTTAAAGATAAACTATCCCTTGTCTACAGTTAGAGCTAAAAAAAAATTCAGAAAATTGCATAAAGGTTACTTCTTGATCGATATCAAGTTCGCACTAGCCTTAGCCTGAATACATGTTCTTGAACATGAGGAAAGTTGTAGTGCAATTTCCTTTTTTAAATTTTAGATTAGGAGTTAGTTGCATAAGCACACCACCTTCAAGGAACTTTTTTTTCGGGACTTCGCATTTCATACCTATATTATGAAATCGGTAGAAGCATCAGCAGTGATTGAATTCAAAGCTGTGGTATGACAATGTGTATATAATGTGTACATCCATAACGGTGGATTGGATGGGATTCATTTCCATTGTAATTACCGCGAGCAGTCATTTTACCTTTATTTTGACAGTGGCGAACATATTTTTGGCTTTCGGAATGGATTCGATCGCTTTCCCGGTTCAAAGCTACACCATCGTGGGGGTCTTTCTCGCTCTATACGTACTTACCCATATCATCCTCCAGGTCAGATCTTTGTGTTCGTTCGATGCCATTATCCAAGTTACAGACGCATACTCTCCTTTACGAGTTATCGAGCGTCATGTATCGATTTCATCGTCAGGTCCAGGTATCTGTAGTGTCGGACAACAAAGGAGAATCAACGCAATCACCGACGACTACTGCCGATAGTGGCATGAAGACAGACGCAACTGTGAGTTATGCTGTTTTCAGTTGAGGAGTATACACTGGTTTCCCTCGAAGTGAGAATATATATTATGCTTAATAAGCATAATCACATCCTAAGATCGATTTAATCGCTAAAAATGATGATGCTCACGGATTTGAAGCTAGATGTGATTTATTTCATCCAAAATAGGATAAATACTTATGAAATTCTTTTTCTATTCCAGGGATCGGTGCTTCGGCAGGCGACCTGGATCCTTTTTCTAATGGCATCTGCGATCGTCACTTTCCTGCTATCCACGCTCATAGTGGAAAGGCTGATGCTTGAAAAGTCTGAATGAAACGACAGTCCAGTCATCTCTGATAGAGTGAGTTCTGCCGTGTCAGCAGCTTTCCTAATGGCTTGGATGGCCATTTCATAATGGCCTCCACAGGGATGAGACTCATCCACTTTCTGATGTCATCTCTGTCATCCGTTGTCCCTTTTTTCCGGAAAAACCCTCTGTGGAACAGCCTTGCTGCTGCTCTCCCTGCTGACATCGTCAAAGTATTCAATCTCTTCACACCACATCTCAAAACTTTCCAGTCTTTTAACGCCCTCTGTCTTCAAGATCCACGCCAAGTGGCCAAAACAGCGCGTGCAGGAGTCTGAGGCGGGACTCTTTCCTGATTGTTTCGCTCTTCCACAGTACTCTTCGATTTTGGAAAGTCGTTCTTGCGATTCCTGTCCTGATGATGATCTCAATGCTGAAATACGCATCTTCATTGATGACTGAACCGAGGTAGTTGAAAGATTTTACTTGCTCTACACTCTTAGAAAATTCCGAGCGTTTGGCTCGCCGCGCAAGTATTAACAGCCTGATATTGTTCTGCAATTAATGCATCTCTCCTCTCGGCATTAATATCTTCAATTGACTCGTAGGTCAGTGCAGACCTACAGAGCCTCCGCTTCTCTTGCGCGTAAAGCTGTCGATCGAGAAACTTAGAATGATTCTGGTAACGTACCAATAATGCTGAGAGTGTAGGGAGGGGCATGATCTAGGTCTCTCACGAACCCCATCATGATTATTAATGGAAACAATATAACACGGACATTTCATCATTGTTATCCACATAATCAAGACATATTCATAGAGTCCAGGCCATAAACAAGCTCATATTCCTATTTTGAGAACCCTTTTGGAATGCCTATGATTTTATCCACATAGAGGAGATCTAGAATGTACAGAAAGTGTCCGTGAACTTCATTCAAGCATACCTTAATCAAATGAGATAATAAGGGACTGATATCACGACACTCCACGGAACCTATAAGAGGTGATCCACCTTTCGACGTGTGCTGTAATCATTACAGTCAGAGGTAGGTCAACGCCTGCACGAACGCGACACACAGTATATATGGGAATTTTTGTATCCTTTCACTTTCTGATGGGAGCGTTTTTACTCTTTGGTGATGGAGTAAATTCGCTCCTTTCCCAGAGTGAAACCCCCTTTCACTCTGAAACTGAAGTTAGCTATTTTACTCTCTTTTTTGAGAAAAATCGCTCCCCTTTTTTAAGAGTGTAGAACCTCGTCATATGCTCTTTATCGGCTGTGATTACCTTGGTCTTCTTCACTATCAGTAGTAAACCGTATCTCTCATTCTTTCTTTTGACACTGTCCACCAACTCTTGGAGATTCTCTCCAGAATATGCTACCATGACCATATCATCAGCATATCTCAGGTCCTTGAGCTGTTTTCCTCCAATTCAAACTCCTTCTAAGGTTTCCTCAACTGCTTCTCTAATGATTCCCTGTGTACAGGCTGAATGGGCCAGGTGATGGTATGCAGCCATGTCTCACTTCCTTTTGAATGTTGAACCATTCTGAGAAGTAAACTCTAACAACTGCCTCTTTATTGTATAGAGGTTTCTTATCGCCCACGAGTCATGGGAAACACATGTAGTGGTTTTGCCCCGAGTTCTCCATGAATGTCAACGGCCTTCGAGTAGCCGATGAAACCAATTAATAGTGGTAATTCAAATTCTCTGGCATTTTCTGTAATGATAGGTAACCTTGACAATTTGGCCTACAGTGCCCCTTCTCCCAAACTCGGCTTGTTCTTGTGCTATTTCCAGCCCTATGAAAACGAGGCTGTCTCCATCATGTCCCGTACTCTCTGCCCCAGGTAGGTTTCCAGTTAGGCTGAAATAAGAGAAGCTTCCAGGTGGAACTGCAGACGCTTTCGCGTGTTCTTAGAGAGTCTCCATCCTCGAATGCGTAGCTCAAGCGGCCATCCGACTTTTGAAGAGTATAGGCTTAGCACCGGAATGTCAAATCCTCGTATAGGGACCAGGTCGGATCTGTGGTTCACTGGACGATTTCTGCTTGCAGGTAATTAAAGCTTTCACGATACATGGGGATGCTGTAGATTTCCTTGATTTCGTCTTACCCAAGAGCCCAAAGAATAAGTTGATCTGCGTTTTCTGCATTTTCATGACTTTCGCTTGGATCTTCATCGCTTCTAGTGGCATTATCACTGTCAGAGACTTGAAAAAAAAACCTGGGTCGTACTCCAAGCCTGCAGGAAAAGTATTTGGTTCCCGGTGAGATCATCCGCCTTCCCGCGATCTTGACTCCATCAGTGAAACCCCATATTGACGAAATCCTACTTGTTATGCACTCAGATTCACCAAAGGTTCGCGATGATTGATGATTGCAGGGACGTTGTCTATCGTCGGTTTCTTCTGCATCCTTGTTTACGATAATGGGAATTACACATCAACTTCATCACTCAGCGAGGATCGTGCCGATGACGTTGTGCTTCATCCAACGAACCATGATAATTTTGACATCTCAAGCAAAGACCTGCTGGTCCACTTCCACTAGGTTCATTTGGGAGTTGGCGCTTGTGCATACCTCGTATATCTCCACACGTGAACCTCATCGTAAACTTCATATATCCGGCTCTAAGTTTGGCGCATATATCCCTTTCGTTCCCCAACAGCAAAACAGTCTCACTTGCAGGAAAGTGCAAACGATCTTCTGTGAGCATCTCAAAACTTAAAAAAGAAATGCGCATCAGCGTTTTTAACCACTTTTTGGTTGATTACATGCAACAGAAACGCCAATAGTCCTCTTCTACACGAAAATAATGAAACCTCATGTACAGAACTCATACTTTCCTCCAAGAAAATATCGTTAAATAATGATAATGGATACCGTGAGTTTGAAGTTAGGAATTATTCAACTTCTCGTGTCAAAAAATAAAATAAAATATCGAGGCTGAGGCACGACCAATTTTTTCTCTTCTAGGGATCGAAGCTTCGGCAGATGACGGGGAACTTATTTCGTATTGAACCTGGAATCATCGCAGTCCTAACAACCATGCTAATTGTGGGAAAGCTGGCGCTATGTGATCAAAGAGAAAATGTATAATGAAATTGACTAAATGAAGAGGAAGAATCCCTGACCTTCATCTTTCCATGACAGTGGACAGCACCACATTGAGGAGGGAGGTGGCGTCGAGTGGATGTTGGGATGTTCGGAAGCATGGACTCGTGATTTGTGGCATAGGCTTACTATTGATTCGTTTCATTCTGTCCAAAACCCTTTCGCTGGTTCGGAAGAAGGAACTGTAGGTCCAAAAAGGCATTTTAAAAACCACAATAGCAACATTTTTACCTACAAGGAGTCTCAGAAGTTGCTCAATACTTTCATTTTGGAGTAAAAAAATGGATTTAAAAAATACAATGGGAAAGCGGAAACTTTGGATATTAGGGCGGGATATTCCATGGATTCACGTTTTGCCGCAGTATATGCTCAAGTAGCACCCATTCTGATTCTTGCGATCCAAAATTGTGCCACAGAAATTGTAAAACTGTTCACAAACATCGGTGATGAATATTGATGGCGCGTGATGTGATATTGCACTTGTAAATAAATGTCAACTCCTCCTCAACATAACTCTCATTCAGTATTTCCTCGGCCAACATCTAGTATGAACTTGCGGATGATAGCATTTCATCGAAGATGTCGATCGACATGTAGGACTGCAATCACAAAACGACATTTGCGATGTGTGCGGGAGTCGAGTTCTTTTTTGTCCCTATTCTGCCTTTCCTGATTCCTGTTTGCTGGATAAAAACGCTAAATTGAACATCTGCTCCCTGAAACTCAACTTCCACAGTTTCGCCTGAAGGAAAAGTACGAACGGATACAGAGTTACAGACCCGCAGGAAAGTATCCATCATGCCAAGGAGCACCATGGATCTAGGTTAAGCTCCAACTGCCTTTCACTCTGGTGAAGTGATAGGCCTGCCAAACCTTCATGTGATATTCCAGCCATCTAAGCATCTCAACACTAGATACTCTTTAAATTGTCATCCGGTTGCTTTCACTGTCTGCAGTCTACGTGACAAATAACCCTCCATGTATGTATTGCAGGTTGGTATCCAATTCTCGAAATATGTGCCGACGAATGGACATTATTTCGAATGGCAGTTGAGCGAACGCGACTGTATGCCGGAGGATTCATTCATAGGAGTGTTTGGGAATCGAAACTGCAGGCTTATCAGGGCGAAGAAAAAAGTTTTCTTACTTTATTTTAGTTGTCGGGCTGCATGCTAATATGCTCCAACTGCATTTTAAAAAATGCCATCATTAGCTTAAAGCTGCATAAACTAATAGAGGTTTCAAGTGAGGCATTGCATAAAAAATTTAAAGTTGCATTAGTTAATTCAGATTAGCGCTGCCTAATGAGCATTAGCAACTCCGATAATGTACATCAGGGATCCGCAAAATATGTCACTTCGGCAACGTTCGAAAATGGATTTTTTTTCCCCGTTCAATGCCCACGAAAGTACGAGGGTGAGTCAAAAAGTAACGGGACATCTGCGGTTGCAATGTAGGAATTATAAATAGCAACATAATTCGCACGTAGTACTGCTTGTTAGAATATCAGCGCTATGAAAACGGTGATTTTCTCGTGTGTCTACAGTTACGGAAAATGGCGGCTAAGGGTCTTTACACCATGGAGGAGTTGCGTTTTGTGATCCGTTTCTTGGTCGAAGATGGCAATGAAATTTATCGCAGACTCGGGGCAGTTAACGAAGAAAACTGCATTGCAAGAAGCAGCGATTACGAGCGGGTGCGAAATTTCCAAAGTGGAACGGCGAGTGCAGCAGACGTTATATCGTTTGTCATTTTTGGACTAGAACAATTGGTTTTGGTGTCAAAAGAAAGAAAATTTGATAGGATTTTACGATTCGATTGATTTGTTTGTTTGCAGTAACTCTCCGTGATGCAAACATTGAATCTTCAACACCGTGTGCAACTTACTCGTACCTTGTACCTTACACACGCAATAATTCATGACCTATGCAGTTACGCTCTCGTGAGGCTGCCAAGTGAAAACAGCCTACATGACTCATGAGCTCTGCTACAGAGGCATTGCCATGGCGTTATTATTTGCAGGAATATAGTTAAATTATTTATTTGAAATATCACAATACAAGCCTTTAAGAATGGAAGAGCTTTTATTCGAATCCAGGAACTTTTCGGCCTATCTGAGGTAGAGTTATGCCGCCTTAGCCCAACGCGCGAGGCCTGCAAAGCCTATGCCTTTCTAGGCCATAGGTCAAGCGGAAGGACAAGGGACGATGTACCAGTACGCTTTTGAATGAGAACGGACTTCCTGCGTATGGCGTTCAAAAAGAAACGAGAGGGGGAAACATTTTAAATTAGAGCTGTGTGTCCAGGCTAGACAGCCAATTGATGACGTCCGGGGTTGCTTGGAGGATTGCTTGAGTCCTTCCAGGAAATGCATGAATCGGACGGTGGTCGACGATGTGGCTCATGGTTTGTACTTCGCCGCATTCGCAGTTAGCTGAATCCCTGATTTCCCATTTCTGTAGGAAGTGGCCACATCTGTCGTGCATAGTCCGAATACGGTTGAGGGCTCTCCAGTGTCTCCGCTTTATATGAAACCCTGGGAGCTCCACGGTGGGATCTTCGGCACCGCTGCTACAGGCCACTGTTCGCGCCATCGGCAGTCGGCGTCCATTTCACTCCATGACGGTGCGGAGGCGTGGATCCAAAAGTTCTGGAGTTGAGGCGCAGTGTTGGGGGCCGGGATATGTCCTGGTGTGTCGGAAGGTCACGATCGGCCGGGATTTTTTCGAAGTACGGCCATTTCTCTTCTGACGCTGGGAGGAACAGTGTTTGACAACACCGGTAGCCAGGGGAGCGGAGTGGACTTCAGGGCTCCACTAATCCATCTCATAGCGGCGTTGATTTGTGTGTCGACTCGCCGGGTGTGTGTGCTTTTGTTCTATACGGGCGCGCTATACTCCGCCTTCGATAACACAAGAGCAAGGTCCGATGTCGCTTCCCCATGATGTTCTGACGAGTTTCTGTATTTCCCAGGATATCCCTACAACTCTGTCAGACCTAATATACTTTGTTCATAACAATTGTCTGATACGACATGTATAAAGGACTCTTCAAGGTCCACCTTAAGAGAGGAAAACAGAACCTGGTGTGATGCATATCTCAACGTGGGCCTTGAATAGCCGGCCCCACTGAAAACTGCATGTCTTTCCGATGAGTTTGTTGGATCTGCCGTCGGGTTTGCGAAATTTCGCCCTACAGCCTCTAGATTCTTCATGACCTGTTTCTGAGGTTTCTTCCTGCTAAAAGCTGTCGATCGAGAAACTTAGAATGATTCTGGTAACGTACCAATAATGCTGAGAGTGTAGGGAGGGGCATGATCTAGGTCTCTCACGAACCCCATCATGATTATTAATGGAAACAATATAACACATACTTTGTATAACGGCATGGTTACAAGGCGCGAGCCAACTTCGGACATTGGCCTGAGCCTAGCTTTGCTCATACGTCATTAGTTCTCGTTTCTTAATAAATATGCATGGATTCGAGCGAATCGGTTCAGCAGATCATGCCTTACAGGATTACCCAATAAGTAATTATGCACCCTAAGTGTTCAGTATTTACATATAGATCCCGTTGTAACGAAGAAGAGGTAGGGGACCGTGGAAATTACTTCGCCAGGAGGGGAGACATTTGTAACTGACGCGTCCCATTTCCTACGATGAGCCTCCTTTTGTACAGACCTGCGTTTGGTTGATCCGAGCTGTTTGACCGAGGAAATTCCCTACTAGAAATGCATTAGGCTCTAGGGATGGAGAAACTGGCAGTTGTAGTTAGTGGCCAACACCATGGCTACTCTGGCACGTGTTTGTTTTCTGTGTTTTCTGTAAGTATGAAAGAGGGCTTCACGTGGCTTCATGACATAGTATGTTGATCGTTCTTGACCTAATGCTACTCTCATTCAGTACCACCCAAATCTAATGTAATTTTTTTTTCTCTTTGGAATGGATTAGAGTTTAACAGATCGCATGTGAATAGGGCGAGGGGTGCAGTTTCCAATGCAATTCCCTGAATTAGGACTACGACACATTTAACTGCCGCATTTTGGCTTATCACGTTAGACTAAATCAAATGCCAATTAGTACATGCAAGTTAGTACATACAATCCACGTCCTGGTCACACGGAGTACTGTGACCACATCATGGCTGTTATCGCATGCCAACCCCGTATGATTCATCAACCACGAGAACGAGCCTTTGTTCACTTAAAATCCCATGCGACATTAAGCATTCCAGACTTCATCGCATGGTTTTTTTAAATGCTGCTGAATGAAAGCGTGAGGAAGTTACTCACCTGATCGCGCAGTTTCATCTGAGGGTGACTACGTGGTATATCATAATAGATAATCATATGACAGGCCACATGCCTCTCGTATGTTGCATAGCAAATTATTGGGTGCGACTTTTCCATAAGAGATAAGGGGCGATATTGTGTTTGGAATTTTTTCAATGTATTACTCAAAATATTATTCCTTGGTTGCGAGTTCGTGGGGTAACGAAGTATCAAAACAATTTTTTTCCCCCCGATCTATTGAGTGAGATAGGGCGCGTATTGAGTCTTTCTTGTGAACCCCTGAGCCGAAATAAACTTTATTCTCTCCCTGACTAAATGAATAATTTATTTTTCACTACGGTTGCATATTTTCTGAATCCGGTATGAGGTTTTTTTTCTGTAATAATTGTTGCTGTTTAGATTGTCCGCTGCTGTCCGAAAAAATAATTTTTTTCAGCGTTTACCAAGTACTGAATGGAAAGAGCCTTTACCTTGATTTATTTTAGTCGGGAGAGTTCAAAAGTCTTTAGGCTTTTCTCTATTGCTTCTAACGTTAGTCATAATCTAATTGACAATTTTCTTCACGACTTTGTTCCGTTTTCTCCTTCCGATCTGGTCATTGAACATAACCGACGAGATAAGATAGAGCATCGAGAACCTCGAACCACAGGTATTGCATAATTTTTCAAGAGTCTGTTACGTCACCGGTAAACTCCACAGAAACTGCTATTTTCTGGCGGCACACTCATTTGGCTCCAAGGAGTCTCAAAGGCATTTCATCTGACGGTTCCAAAATTAAACGAGATGCCCGCAGGGACTTGAGCAAAAAAAAGGATTATACTGTAGGTCTTCATAAGGAACAGAGCAGATTCATGCAGATGACGATTGGCAGCCATTCAAACTCGAAAGGGGTAAACTCCTTTCGGGTTTGAATCTCCGAAAGGGGCAAACGTCACAGCAGGACGATGGGAAACCAGTCCACGCTACGTAAATCTTCAGACTCAAGCTCCGGAATGACTGTTTTACTAGTCGGGCAGTGCATGGGCTGAACGCATTCGAAGGATGTGGAGTGGCTGTTCCTTCTGCGGATAGATATAAGAGGAGGTCCGATGCCTTCATCACAAGACAAAAAGGAAGCAATGTGGTTGTTAAGTAGCTTGGTAGTAGATTCACACGCTCGCACAAAATCATTTATCTTTTGAGGGGAAGGCCTATCTCGGATGGGGAGATGTGGGAGGAGACCTTCACCTCGACTTGGGATCTC